TCTCTTATACACATCTAGATGTGTATAAGAGACAGCTCTCTCTCTCTCTCTCTCTCTCTCTCTCTCTCCCCTCGTCCTCCTCTTTCCCACTTTTTCTCTCTCTCTCTCTAAGTCTCCCTCTCTCTCTCATTCTCACCCCCCTCTCTCTCGTCCTTCCCCCCCCCCCCTGTCTGTCCCTTTTGACGAAATTGCTGATACTCTGAAAAAAAGCTACTAACTACATCAGCAAAAGTTGGCCTCGCAATCCATGAGCAACTCCTAGCCTCCCCTATACCAGACACAACAAAGACAATATCAGCCTAACCAGTACCGGCCATAGCTGTCGTGTCCTCACTACCAAGACTGTACCGGGCCCCTTAAGTTGTCATGGCAGCCTCTCCCACTTTGCCACTGGATTGCCTTCCTTCCTCAATGAATCCCCAGATCTCTCTACCAGGCCTCACACTCCTGCTACAAACAGGTCACAGGGTTACTTTCCAGCACTGGCCACCGTCGTTCTGACATCGACAAACCAAGAGCAAAAAAAACCGCAGCTTTGCCAGGCGTCGAGCAGGCTTCCACCACCCCTCTAAAATCATGTATCCAATATGAGAAGAAACTCAAATGTCGTCCAGGATTGTAGAAAAGCCAGGTAAGCTTACAGGAAATTGCTAATAATTATTAATTAGTGCTTTCTAGGAGTTCAATAACACCTTCTATCCCTACGTCAACAAAGCACGCTCATTCCCCATGACACTAAGGGGTGGACCCCACAGGTAAAAGGAGGGAAAAACTGTCCGGCCAAAAAAAAACGAGAAAATAATTTTGGAAAGCTGGAAAGCAGTTTTGCAGGGACCCCACCGCGGAGGGCCAAATGCGCTTGGGAAACCCTTCGGAAATCAGTTGAGCCAACCGTTGCCTGTCTCCGTCGGCGCTCATTTGTTTTGTTCTTTTTTTCTTTGTTTTTCCTTGTTTTTTGTGGCACTCTTGGTCGCTATTGGCTGCTGCCTCTGGTGGGACTTTTCCGAGACTTTTCCAGAAACGACACGCCCTCCCCCCTACCCTCTAGAGTTGGCACAAAATTGCCGCGAGGAATCCTCCCGTGAGACTTTTCCAGGCTGCGGACTATGTGAAAACACAAAACTATGTTTTTCCAAGCCGCAATCCCGGAAAACGGTTTGCGGGAGAAATTTCACCTTTCCGTGGACTTCTGCTGCAGGCTGTGGGGTCCTGAAAACAGTTTTGCGGCGAAGTTTTTCCTTTCCGTCGTCCTGTGGGGTCCAACCCTAAGAGTCTAACCAATACATTCCAAAGGCAGTTTCAACCTCACCAATACACATCCAAAGCTGTCCAGTTCTCACTACCAAGACTATACCCTGCCCCTTAGGTTGTCTTGGCAGCCGCCCCCAGTTAGCCACTGGATAGCCTTCTGCCCTCGGCGAATCCCCAGATCTCTCTACCAGACCTTAAGCTCCTGCCTTAAACAGGCTACAGGGCAACACCCCAGCATCGGCCAGCACCGTTCTGGCATTGGCCCACCAAGAGCCTTAGAACATCGCAGCATCACCGGGCGTCAGTCAGGAGTCCCCTGCTTCGGAATCTTAAATCCGTCATGAGAAGAGGCTTGGATAAACAATTAGTGCTGCTGGAATCTTGTACCCGATTGCTGCAGAAATTTGAAGATGCTACTTGATGATCAATGAATAGGAAAATATTATAAGATAGGGGAAAATTCCCCCCCCCCTCTCCTTTTCAACCTGTCCCTATGCTGCCTCCACCGACAAAAGATGCCCTAATTACAGAGCGAT